CCCCGGCCGCCTCAGCCGTGGCTGAGGGGACTGCGGGTTTCTCCTTGTGAGTGCAGGATTGTTGGCCTTGTGAGGCGCCTAAACCCGAACGCTGCCGAGAAGGAGAGCGGGAGAAGGATGGAAGGACTCGCTGCACCCAGCACGAAAGGCCCTGCAGTGTCTCTCCTTGGCAGCTGCCCCGGGTAACAACCTGTGCCCTCCCTGTGGCCCCACCGGTGCAGACCCTCCCACCCCTCCCACAGGGAGCCTGGGCTTTGTTCCTCGCCAAGATAAAACGTGACACGAGAGAACTCCTGACCTTTCAAAGGGAAGCGGCGGGGCAAACGTTCAGTCCCTATATTTTTAAGGCAGTTTTTTTAATGCAAGGTGAAGTGTTGCCAGCTTTTCTTAAATGGGAAAGTTCAGCTTCATCCCGTTGTCTTGTAGCTGCCCAAAAATTTAAAAAAAACTTACAGTGGTTTTTCTTCACAGCACACATGGGTAGCTGAGTGATTTCCTTGTTCCTTCTGTGAATACTAGCCTGTTGATTTTCCAAGCTACCCCATTACTAAATTGTTTCCTGCACAACCTTTGATTTATTACCCTTGCTCACACAGACCTATGGTCCTCGTCATAAAAAGATTGCAGGCTCAGATACACAAGCTTGCAGGTCATCATCTTCTGCATTTCTTTCTCCAGTCTCACATTCCCACTGTGAGGAACAACTACTCCCAAAACCTTTCTAAAACTCCCCTTAGATAAAAACACTAGATTTCCAGCATCCTGTTTCAGTTACCCAGAGCTGGGCTGGCACATGGTCAGGAAAGCCAATATATGGAACAGGCTGCATGTGAGCAGCCCATCTTTACATCCACAGCAGTGGGCACAAGGATGTAAGAAAATAGGTGTTTTGTACTGAACACAAGATATTTTTCCCCCCATACAACCCTCCTGGGTTATGAAAACATTGGGCAGCCTCCAAGTAAGTATTCCTTTAAAATAATTTCCTTTTCTTAGGGCAATATTTTATTTGGTTTTTAACCAGGCAATCCCCAAACTCACAATAAATTTTCATCAGCCTCTTTCCACTCCCACTTGTGTTCCTCATCCAGGAAAGATGATGGGGCATCTAATCATTGCCAGCCTTAAAAAGCAGCCAACTTGCACATTCCTCCCAGTTCCTCAGGCAAATGAGTAAACTTGTTTAAAAGAGATTTTTTTTTAGTCCCTAAATGCTGCAAATTGGGTAGAATTAACCTGTTGCAGGATTGCATGGTAAAGTGATTAGCTAAAAGGATGTGCCACTAAGAACTGGAGCTGGGGGGAGATCTATTTTCTTTCAGCAGCCCTGAATACACTTTAAGATGAAGGAGAGAACATGAGTTAAAAGGGTAAGGTGATGGCAAGGAGGAATATATTTGTAGTGTGTGGATGAATGTAGAAAGCAGGTGTAAAGCCTAAAAACAAAATCAGAAGTATCCAGTTAATTTTGCTAGGAAAGTGACCCCACAAGACAGGAGGAAGCATCACTTAAATGCTTTTAAACTCAATCCTGGTGCCTGGCGTTAGTGATTTATTAGTCCCTTTTTTTATTATGTCTGAATCTGACCTGTTAACTCGACTTTGACACACTCAAGAGATGAAAATGCAACTTGTTTTCCTCTGGTTATTTCCTTGGAAAGCAGTTCACTGAGGCTGTAGCAGAGGAAATATTTGCCAAAGTCAGCAGACCATAAACTGCTCCACCTCTCAGTGAAACTTAATGGAAATGATTCATTAGACCAGCTCAGATTTCAGTGGAAGTTTCCCAGAAATGTGAAGTGCTCTGAATGATCCGGTTCTTAACCAAATGATTTGAGTGGTTCCTTGAGGCAAAATTCCTTACAAAATACTGCAGAGGGAGCCCGAAGCCCGGGAGTGGTTCAGACTGAGCTTTTGGACTTGGTGTTCGCTGGAGGAGCAGGGAAAAGAGAGAGAGAAAAAAAACAGATTAATTTCTGCTGAGCCTTCAGGGAGGTGTGGGTCACCAGGACATTTAGGACAAACACCCACTTCGGGACTGTGGGCATGAGATGGCAAAGCGTGTGGCTGCCCTTCGTGGGCTCTGCAGCATCAGCTTGTGGGGACAAATGGGGGGAGGCTGGAAGGTTCCTCGGGAGGGTTCATGGCTTTCCAAGCAGCTGCTTTAAAAAACAGTGGGTTCATCCTCCTGCCCTGAGGAGCAAACGTTTTGGTAAAATGTGGTACTGAACCCCAGGAGACTGAGATGAATTCCATCGAAAAGGTGGTTTGTGTTTTCCAGCGAAGGGAACTGAGCCTTCCCGGCCGGCCCCTCTCCCTGCTCTGCCGTGGGGCTCTGGAACAGCTGCAGCTTCTGCAGGTGCTGCAGCGCCTCTGGTGTCACCTGCTTTCTTATTAGTGCTCATTAACAAGCGTACAAGCTGCTGAGCGCCCTTCTGATGACTGTTTATTGCCGTGAAGCAACTTCATCTGACAAATTGCTTTCTGTGAATATGAGTGTCTTGCCTCCCCTTTCCAGCCTCTTCCCTGACAGGGCACGTTCTTGCAGCTGCTCTACACACCCCAGAACTGCTTTTGATCTGGGCCATTTCAGGTGCTGGCTGTACCATGGCTGCTCCAGCAGAGTGCACAACATGCTCAAATCAGAGACAGCAAAACAGCTCTTCAAAGACATCCCTCTCCTTTCCCCATAGGAAGGGCTGCACACACCTGTAGAGTTTCCAGGGTTAATACTGGTGTTTTGCTTTGCTTTTGTCCTGAGCTACATCGTGCTGCTTCGAGATCTGTAAAGCTTAAATTGCTGCTCTTAGTCCAGTCCTGCTGGCTTGCAAGGTGCAAAGGAGGTGCTTCTTTTTTTTAGCAAAGTGGAAGCAAAAAAGAGGAATATCTGTGCAGGAAGGGGACCTCAAAATGCAGAGCATTCCGTTGTGAAAATTGGATGTGCTGAGGCACCCCCTGTGGGTGGACTGCCTGGCTCTGTCACAAGCCCTGCAGCTAGAGAGTGGAACACTCCTGCCTTTTGATCGTGAGAAACACAATGGGATGTAGTTCCTAGTTGCTTGAGTCCCTAGAAACTGGAGTATTTAGGCACTACAGTGCTTTTAAATCATAGAATGGTTTGGGTTGGAAAGAACCTGAAAGATCACCTAGATCCAACCCCCCCTGCATGGGCAGGGACACCTCCCACCAGCCCAGGTTGCTCTAAGCCCCATCCAACCTGCCCTTCAACACTTCCAGGGATGGGGCAGCCACAGCTTCCCTGGGCAGCCTGTTCCAGTGTCTCACCACCCTCACACTAAAGAGTTTCCTCCTAATGTCTGACCTAAATTTCCCCTCTTCCTGTTTTGATCCATTACCTCTTGTCCTCTCACTACAAGGCCTTGAAACAAGTCCCTTCCCAGATTTTATGAGGCACTTTTGATGACTTTTCTAACTTATCAGACAATTCAATAGCAAATAACCCAGGGCAAGTTGAAAATTCTCATCCCTGACAGTTCTGAGGCACAGGCTGGACAAACTTCTTGGCATAGACTAGATCTATTTAATCCTGTCGGTGCTGAGGAATTGTCTCTGTTTTGAGGTCACATGAATTTACACTTCTTTTATTATAACTGCCACTCTCTCTCAAGGCAATTAGGAGCATCTGAGTTTTTCTTTGTCTTCAGGACAAGAGCACTATTAAAACAATGCAACCTCCTCCTTACTGGTTGAATTGGGCAGTAAAATGTTTGTTTGCTTTCTTGCTTGAATAAACTGATTTCCATAAGGCTTCTTAATGTACTTATTCAATGCCTCTCATCCATCTTTTGCAAAATCATAATATGCCCATTTTTGGCAAAGAAACTACAGTTTCTGCATTTTATTTTGTAAATGAATTAATCCATCCTTGTTTCTTTGTCAGGTGTAACCTCTCTGTTGCTATAACATCCAGTGTAGAAAGAAGTGCTCTAGTAAAGTAACTGTTTGTGAAGAGACTTAGGATCCTAGGAGAAAACTGTCCCTGACAAAAGGGCCTGGAAGAAATGTCAAATTATTGTGGGTTGAAAGAGAGAAAATTAGAAGCAGAGTGTGGGAAAAGCAAATAAGTAATGAAAAGAAAGTGAACTCCAGCATGAATAGGTTGTATACAGATAAAAGATCTGGCCAAGGAACAACAACAACAAGCAATAAGTTGTTAACAGATGCTTGAACTTCATATTGAAACAGAAGAAGTGTTGATATAATTCTGTTGATACAGTTCTGTTGTGTTATTGTTGGCAGAAGTTAGTTTAACTTTAGGGGAAGGGTAAATTGTAGACTTTTGTTTATTTTCTCCAGCTAAAAACCTCTAACTTGACTTTTTACCTATTTTTGTAGCGAATTTTCATCATGCCATATAAGTATGAAATCATTCAGACAAACATTTCACATGTCAATAAAGCTACGTGTAGATATTAGCCCAGCACATTTCATTCCTCTAACCCCTGCTTATTACTGAAGCTCTGCAACATCAATTTTGCACTTGGAAAAACAGAACAGAG